TGTAAACCCTGGGAGGTGTCACTTTGGTGACTCATTCTAATGCCTCTGCTGGTCTTTTATTTCCTTTCTCCTGCCCTCCAGCAACAAGCCATCATTAATCCAGAAATTTGTGAGGGGGATCAAACAAGCACATAGGTTTCCAAAAACTAAATTAAAAGGTAAAGCACACTTATTTATTCTGAGAAGGAGTGAATACAGCTAATTGCACCAGCCCCCAAAGCCATTTGGTCCTCAAAGCTGCAGGCAGGATTGAATTTCATACACTCTAATTAGCAGATCATAGTTTCTATAGTTATTGCAATATAAAGAACTAGAACAAACTAAAGTGGACCTCAGAGGCAGCCATAAAGAGAGGGTGAAGTGAATGCATCCCCCCCTCCCTGCAAGGATGAAAGAGTGCTTCAAGCTGTTGATTATGAGCCTTAAGTTAACAGAGGTGGTGAATAGAATTTAACAGAAGAGTGTTCCTGTACTGTGTTCATTATGCATGAAATGCTATTTAGATGTCAATTAAAGTATCCAAATTTGCATAGGCTACATAGAAAAGATTGCAAACAATTTACATCAAAAGAAAGCCTCCTGACCAAATGCATTGGCAGGCAGGGGTCATTTTGCTTTGGGTTTTTTATTGTGAATGTTACAATGTACATATGTATATTTATAAATATATATTCTTCCTTTAATTAAAAAAGTACATTTTGTACAGTTCAAAATGCTTACTTGCTTAGTGAAGGATATAGACTCTTTTTGCAGAAGGTGAAATAACCATGTTATGGTTTTTATACCATGTCTGTTCCATGAGCTGAATTCTTCCCAGGTGTCCTTTTGTACTGACTTTTTTTTAATTTGTTTTTTCTTTGCTTTGTTTTGTGGCATTTGTACTCACCATATTTCCTATCACATTTAAGTTATAATAAAGATTATTTTTTAATTACTAAGCACACCAGTCTATATGTATAGTCACTATCAGCAGCCTCTCCACTGTGAGGCTCATACAACTTTCAGACATCATGGAAGTCATCTCCCAGTACCACAGGTGGCTTAGTAAGATCCACCTACTTGCAGCTGATCACTTCTTGCCTTCTGTGAAGACAGACTCAAGACAGAAGACACTGCTTTCCTCTTACAACATCCAGGCTTATGGTATAGACCTGCCTATCCAGCAGAGAGCCAAAGCTGCAGAGCATAAGGCTGCTCTCATATGCAGGTTCCATGCCACATGGAGCTTTGCAGCTACTTTCATCTCATTATAGATTAAATTCACCTTCTGAGAAATTTATTAACCTAAGGCTGATCTACTACACCAAAGAGGTGGAGTTACCATCCCTGGAGGTATTTGGAAGACATGCAGATGTGCTCAGGGACATGGCTTAGTGGTATACTGGGCCATGTGAAGTTAATGGTTGGACTTGATCTTAAAGGTCTTTTCCAACCTAAATGATTCTATTATTATAACCATTAAAAACACGTATACAAGCCATGTAGAAGCCAATCCTGCTTTCAATAAAGTAAGAAAATTCTCAGGAATTTTTTTTTGAAACTTACACTCAATTTAGTTCTATTGTATCTGAAACTAACCAGCTTGAACCCAGCATATAGAGGCCAAATTTCACTTTTTTAATAAACTAAAACAAAGAATCATGTTCTAACCTGATTCATGACATTTAAGAAAAAAAACAAAAGTCTTCTTTTAAGAAACCAAACAAAATCCGCCAAGCTTCTATCCTCAAGAGTAACAAACCCTTAAAAAAAGTGAACAGACTTTGTATCTTAAGTAGGGGCCCCAGCTTTGCTGACTGGCAATGGAATCATTCTGATGATGGGATCCCCAACACCCTCCTTCAAATGGCTGCAGTGCCCCCAAGGGTATGATAGAGGTATCTTTGTACCCAAGGGTTTGACCTTCAACATGACCTATTTCATTACAAGCAATTCTTGGTAAATCGATAAAGCAGCAAATTCAAGTTCCTCAGAACACCATTATCATTTGCTGAACCACTCTGTGTTATTACGAGAATGGACAGAGAAATTAACAGCAAACAAGCATTTTTGCTGAAGAAAATGATGATAACAAGGAAATTCAGTCTCAAGATTGAGCATTGTCTCAAGTCTCAAGTCTCAAGACAGAGCATTGGAAACACAAGGAAGGCCCTGGGAGATTTGCAAACCTGCTCAAAATCTCCAACCCAGCTCTGAAAACAACCTCAGATGGCTCTGATGGAAAAGTAAATTATGCAGCCTGCTTCCTTGCAAAAATAGATCCAACTTCATTACTTACACACAGGTGGCAAAATAAGCTACAACACATGACAACACAGCAGGTATCCATGTCAGCAATGCAACAAACAGAGTGAGTTTCAGTTCCCCAGCCAAGTAGTTATTATGGTCTAATTAACTTATCCACACATTGTCTTAAATACAATTGGCATTTATGTTAGATTTTATTTTTGCTAAACCAAGTAAAAGCCCTTCCACACACAAACCATCCTCTCCACCCCAGTTTGCTTGCCCCTGCTAGTCACTACAACAGAAGTAAAAGGTCAGATGGTTGTATAAAGAACCAATTACACAAATCATTACACAGTTTCTAGACATTTTATGAGCCTTTCACACATGTGCACAAAGTTCTGATACTTACTATACAAGTTCTACTACATCTATGTTTAAAAAAATCCAAGAATTTTCAGCATAATAAATGAATCTTGACTCTTTTAGAGCATTTTTAAACATGATTAATGCAGCAGCACAAACCTTCTGACACTTCCATACATCAGTATTTCTGATAAAACAAGCATAGGGAGATTATTTCAAGGTCCAATACAGCCATGACAGAGATACAAGCATGTATATGGGGCTTATTTCTACACCACAATTCAGCTCTCATACCTGGTCTTCTGCAGCATGTTTCTCAAAGACTTCATTAACAGAAAGAGTAATTTGCTGTATGAACTGAAGTTAATAAAACCGGAACAGACTTGGTTTGAAGACTACTGGTGTAAGTATTAAGTGGTCCATGTTGTTTTGATGTAAAGTTATTTTACAGGTGGACAAGAACTTCCATGATTTGGTACACAATCCATTTCACAGAAGGATCCAGCTAATTAAGGAACTTTAAAATAAAACAAAAGCACAAATCTAATTTAATAAACCTTCTTTGAGCATCTTGATGAAAAAAAAGGAAGAGCCAGGTACAGGTAATGAATGCAAATTTTGGATGTTACTTTCTGGCAGTTCTTTGTTCTAACGACAGCACCTGTATTACAGCCTTTCACAGAGAAGGTGGTGGTCTCAGATTGGTCTGCCTGGCCAGCTAATGATGCAAGTGCTTTCTTCCCTTCTACAGCCTCTGCACTGTAGAGTGCAAAATATTCCTGATGTGTAGAAATAAAGCCAGCTTTGAAAAATGACTATAACTTCACATTGCACTGCATGAAGACTATTGTAACAAATAAATGTGTCCTTATTTACTATTATTGAAGATCTACTTGGACATGATAATTGCTTAGAAGCTGAGATAGGAAAGGCTTAAGTCCCCTGACAGTATTATCTATTAAATATAGCATCAGTACAAGTTAAACAAACCTTTGTCACTATTTCTGCACTGTGAAGAAAAGGATTGTCTAAGCACTCCAGAGAACAAATTGGAGGGTGTAATCTTTTGTTTACACGGTTCCCAGGAAAGGGATGACTCACCTTGTGAATACCAGATAGAAAATTAAATGGAAGCCAGGAGTATTACTTCCTACAATGGTTCCGATGTTCCCTGAATGTCACAGCTGAAATCAGCTGTGAAACATCTATTAACTTACTGACAGCCACAGGGAGAGAATAAGATACAGAAGGAATCTTGAGGTGCCAATCTGATAGCTCCACAGATGTGTTCACACATACTCTGAAGTAGTAATTTGGCAAGGCCCAAGAAAACCATGAAGAATCCCTGATTATCTCTGCCCTCTCTCTGCTCACCTTTAAGCTCATCACAAGATACCACAGTGGCCATCAACTTTTAATGCCTACCCTTGGGACACCTTGTTTCTTGGCAGAACAATTGCTGAGTTCACTCAGGACTGGAAAACCTATATGCAACTTACCTCTCTGCCTTTGTTCTTTCAACTGCAGCCACTTTTCCCCCCATACAGACACTATAGTTTTAAGAGTGCTTCTTTTTATTCCTGTAAACCCTTCAAAACATGACTATCTTCGTAAAAAGGTGCCTCATCTATTCAGTAAATACCAGAGCAGTAGTTTGAAACACATGGAGTTTCCTTTCAGAATACCTCTGAAGTGCAGGCTGCTTTGTCTCCATCAGTACACTTGCTATCAGGAGCAAGAACATCCCAACTTTTCTTCATAAGCCAATAAATGTATTTACAAGACACTGTCTAATACTTCTTGCTTACTTAGGCTCTTGCCTATACATCTCAGACAAGGCTCCCTTGAGACAAGAGGCAATTTTGAAACCCCTGAAAAGCACAAATCTAACTGAACTTTAGATCTTGAGACTTATTACCCATTCTTGACTTTCTGAAGCCTCCACAACACCACAAGTTTTATTTTGCTTTGCCTGTCAAGCAAAAGCCACTTCGTTCTCTAAAATTCTGCAACTCTAAGGAGTTAAAAACTGCCCACGTACACTCTAAAAAACTTTAAAGCTTCCATCTACAGTAGTCACAACTGACTTACTAGCCTAGAACTAAGTAATTCCCACTCAAATAAGAGGCTGGTTCAGTAAGGCAAAGATTTATTAATTTTCATGTATCATGTCAGACCAACTGAGAGGATATTTACACAACAGCTTGAAATACACAGTATTTGCATCGTATACAAGCGACTATGTGCAGCCTGTAATAAGTTTTCTATGCAGTATCCAGATACTCCCACTGCTTCATAATTCCAGTTTAAAACCAACACCTGTAATGCTTCCACAAGTTTCTATACCTGAGAAGTTTTAATATATCCTTTCAAGAGGAAGCCTGCAATTAAAACCCACATAAGGCTATTTAAGGTTGTCGTTCCAGTTGCAAATTATTTTCTTCCTTTGGAGCAAGATCTGACATACCCTCCTTTAAGCCACATGATTCTTGTGATGGCCCTTCAGAAGTGCTGTCTGCATTGTCTCCACAGTTAATCTCTTCATTTTCTAGTTCAGATTTCTCTAGAGCCAGATTGTCAGGTGCTTGCCCAGTTAGCCTCTAGAAAGAAACAGAAGATGGTGTGAACTTAATACAACTTCTCCATAATAGGCAGTGAAATAAGACTGTACATATTGAATTAAGAAAACTAATTATCCTCACTTACAGATCATTGATATAATTAAAACATTCCTCAGTCACAAAACTCTTAACAACACTTGTGTTCAACTCAAATTGCTACCTCTAACTCACAGACCACATCTGCTTTGTTGACTGTTAAGCCTTCCTCAGGTTCTTCAGTAGGACAGGTTTTATCTTTGGCAACATAAAATACGTGAAACAGCTTCCCAGGTTAAGTATTACCTATATATTTAATTTTAGAAAAATTAGTATACAACAGGTTAAGTTCATAATTGTAATTCAGAAATAATGAAGGTACATTAAGTACAGGTAAACTAGAAGACCCAGCAGTTCCTAGCACTTGATGATCAAACGAGAAGTTCCTCACCTAACCTGACTTATGGAAGAAAAACAGGACCAGAGGAGGCTGCTTTTGAAGCTTCAGATTGTCTGCTGTATCATGTAAAGCTCATTAATGCCTCAGAAGTGAACAACTCACAACTAAGTTCACTTAACTATTGAGGAACTGCAGAGAAGTTTCCAACATTACTTTTAAGTCCTTAATTTTTGCCTGTGGGTTTATCACTAACAAGCAGTATGCCATGAATACAGAAAAAATGCAAACACAGCTAATGAGTGGAGATTTTCAAGACTGATCTAAATAACTGCACTAACTGAAAATTAATTTGATCAAGTTCACTTCCTGATTAATCAAGTTGCTTGCAATTATCTTCCATTTTGTTTCTACCACCCCAGTCTAATCACAGAAATCAAAATATGTGCCAGGCACCTAGCTTCCTATACTGGCTGAGAGATCCCTACAAAAACAACTAGCTGATGAGTTTATTATCAAGGTTCCATAGCTATAAATTTATCACACCTTCAGAGACTGTTACAGACAACCTACCCCTGGTGGAGGAGTCATAGAATCACCAACACGACTACCTGTCCAAGGAATTATTATTATTAGCTGTTTAGAAATTTACAAGTGTATGAATCCCTTCAGATTAAGTGCATTAGCCCTTTTTGGGCCATGAATTTGGCAAGTCCTCAGTGAGATTATAGGCATTCCCTTTTTCCTCCCACTGCTCCTCTTAGTGCTCCTGCTGTTTAAAGGACACAGCCAGTACAAGCACTTTATGCAACCAACAGCCGCATACAACCCATTAAGCATCTGTATTTAAGTTCTCATAAAAGTGAAAGTGAACCTTTCCCTCCCGTGTCACCAACTCTGTTCTGCTAAGACAATAGGTTGAATCTTCCCTTCAGAAAACACCCATCTTAAGTACTTTCTCATTATTCCTTTGGAGTCTAAACTGGCAAAATTCATCCCTCTTCTGAGGCTAGGCTTTGTGCCTCTGGACTCGAGCAATCCCACAGGAACAGGATAGACAGCAATTTAAGAATGAAGAGGATCATAGAATGCCAGGTTGGAAAGGATCTCAAGTATCATATAGTCCAACCTTTAAGAGCTGGATGAACAGACAGAACAGAAGTAACGATTTCATTAAAATATTTGTGCTGCTTTCTAAATTTTTCATTCTACAACATTAGCTGAAAATTCAAGTACCTCAATCATGCTCGTCATATAATGCACATGTTCAGCAAGGGCCATTAGCTCTTCATTTTCTTCTTTTAGACGGGCAATTTCACCATCTTTCTGTTCAATTTCTTTGTGTAGCTGAGTTCAAATAACAAAATGTTAAAATAGGAAAAAAATAACCAGCAGTAAGGAAGTTAATGAGCTTTCACTAGCTACCTTTTCGTTTTCTTGAAGCACTTCATACAGAGCCTTCCTCCTTTCTTCAGCCACTTCTTTCCAATACTGAGGTGAAGGGCTTCCTGAAGTAAGAAGCTACTGTAAGTCTGTGCTAAGACTGAATTCTTGATATAAATATCTTTAACTGGTATACAAATGTTCTATAAAGTGTGATAATAAGAACTCTATGTAGTATTTTCTCAGAGATCAGTTGTAAATTTACAACTAGTGACATAATTTTACAGAAAATGGATTCAACACTGTATTAATGGCTATACAGGCAGGGTCGTCAAGAAGCTGCCTCAAGCCTGGCAGCAGAGCAGGCTTTCCAAGATAGTCACATTTGCAATCCTCAGTCCATGCCTTGTGGAAGACAGAAGTCTTATTTTCAAGTCACTATCCACACACTGGGCTTCATCAGCCTCCCACTCAACTTAAGATGCTTTCAAACTGGTTCTGAGAAGCTGCACACATAGCAGCATACTATGCCAAAACAGACTTTAATTTCAACTTCATTACTAGTCGCCTGAAAGCCTGTAGCTAAACCAAAGGAATAAACTATAGTACTTCTTAACACTGATGCATGCTGAGGATACAGCAAGTAGTACCTGAGAATCATCCTGAAACATTAGATAACTATACTGCATTACAGAGGATAAGTATCACTAATTCCTGCTACACATTTTATCAAAACCCTAAACCCTTATCTAACTGACAAAGGAACCACGTTTCAAGTTATATTCCAATGGGAGCTTAGAATTTCAAATGCAAGAAAGTATATCAGGAATTACCACACACCTTTTATCATGAGATCTACTGCTTGAATTACATCATTCATATTATCATTTTCTTGCTCCTTATCCACAGACACTTCAGCTTTAGAAGCCTTTGAGGTGAACTTGTTATTCCAGAGTTTCCTTTTGACTGAAGATTTCTTCTGCATAAAACACAGGTTTAACTTCAGAGCAATGTTTCAGTTTTCTTCTTTTTTCCAATACAAACTTGTACACCTGCTTACCAATGACTGCAAATAAGACTTTAAGCCCCAGCTTCTTCACACTACAGTTCTAGCTTACAGATATGATCCTTGATACCCACAGGTTGAATACAAGAAAGTCTTAAACATTTTCCTGAAGTACTCAGAAATAGCTAAGTTTTAATATTATTTTAGTTATGAACGATATTAAGGTGAAGTTGGCACACTTGTTAGGGAAGTATGAGTTTCCAAAAAAATATACCGGCTTTCAGTTAAAAGCTCCAAAGCATTTCACTATGATTATAAGTAATTAGACACTTGAAGGGTATCTTTTAATTCATACCTCATTTCGTCTGCCAACCAGGCAACCTGTTGCTGAAGGCTGAATCATTTTAAGAGTCCGTCTTGGGGCAGCGCTGCATGTGGCATCTGTGAGGTACTTCTAAAAAGACAAATATGGCTTCAGACCACTGTCACATTTCTCTACATAAACTGAAGTTCAGGAATTTGTCATGCTTCCATTAAAGTAATCAATCATTCAGCTTGTCAAGACAAAATGATGATACTTTAATGTACGTTAAGGCTTGTGCAAATAAGGTAATCTAGTGAATTGCATCAGAGATGGACCTTAATCACATAAAGCTATGCTCAGCCCATCTCTTAGAAAACCCTTACCCTTCATAAAGGGATTTAATAAGCCTTAGAGCAGAAATATTCTAACTAGATTTCAAGGCCAGTTGTAGCACAGTGACCCAGCAAACTTCAGCCGAGGCCCGAGTTGTTTGGAAACAGCAGTATTAAACTCCAGAGGAGACAAAAGTGACTGAAATTGCAAGTTTACTTGGTAAAGTCACATTAGGCAGTACCCATTTTTGTTACCTGTGAACACACCCTCCAAGTGGTTTTCATTTAAACGTGTTACTTCAATTACCATTAAAATGGACCTAAAGCTTCCTTGCTTCGATCCAGATAGGCTATTGTTTTGTGTGTTTATCACCTTTCCTGTCACACATAAATACCCATTTCCTGCATTAAAGTTTTCTGATTGGGTTAGCCACACTGCCACCATGGGACAGCAAACAATGGCAGACAACCAAGCAAGAATAGCCAGAATATAATGCCACACCAGCGTGAGAAAGTTACTGATTCACACTCTACTTCATATGACAAGAGTTCGCTTTTCCCACGGTAGTTCCTGCCACCAATTATCCTCCTGTTGAACTAAAGGACAAACACTAACTGCTGTGGGAACAAGAATCACACCGTGTGTCGGACACTGCTTGCTGCTATTGAAGGTTAGAGTTAAGTACACTCTGCCAAGAAATTATTGGCTAATACTTGTGTTAACCCATTGCATCTAAGTATCAGAAAGTGCAACAAGCCACCCCGAGGAATTTACATCCTAGAGCTACTATAGGACAGGATGATGAAATGTGTAAGTTAGGCTTATCAATAGGCAATTTTAATTAATACCAGAAATTCTTATTGCAACCACTTTATCCCACATGACAAATGTCTATTACCCTCAATTTAGTATGATATTTGTACAATTCTGATTAGGGCCTACATTAAAAGATTTAACAAAAGAGTCTTGTAAGAGGATTAGAATAGGTATAAACTTTTAACTTTTAATCACTCATCTCTTAAAATCCTAAATCCTTTAAGCACTTTTCACCAAAGCCAAGGCAACTACAGTTCATGAGAGTGGCTTTAGAAACAGAACTGCCTTCATGAATCATTCAGTTAAACATGCTCAAGTCAAGACAGATTTAATTCTAAGGAAGTTCATCACTACAAAGGGCAGACTACACAACCTATTCCACAAGCCCTTAGCAGTCAGACTGATTCAGTAGCTGAACTAAGGCAGGTAGTCAGCACCTAAAAAGAAAAATCACATGGAAAGACAGCAAGCTCAGTGTCAAGCTAAACAGGACTTGCTGAGCAGAAAGGGGGGAAAAAAAGAAAAGAGTAGTCCTAAGTACATATGCCCAAGCAGAACATAGTGTTCCCAAGCCACTCTGCCTGCCAGGAGGGTACTCAAGCCAACAGGACATTAACTAGGTGGAAGCACAGTAGAACAGATCTCTTTGTATTCCTTCAGTGGATAAAAAACTTGTGTGAGACAGAGGAACTATTTCCCAGAGAACTCAACACAAACCTCTGAACAGAACAAATTCAGCATTTGAGATACTCTTGATAAATTTCAGTTTCTCTTTTCTGTCCCTTATCTGCTCCCATATTTTAGCTTCAGAACTTCAAAGCCGATACCTGCAAAGATCCTGATGATTTGTCTGCGGCCGTTTTTTGTTTCATTTTGGAATTCATAGGATCACTGCAAAAAAAGAGTAAAAAGTTAGTCATTTGGTTGCAGTAGTAGTTACACAGTATTACAATTTCAGTTTACTAACTGTTATGACCACATTAAGAATTCAGTCCTGAATCATCTGATCAGCAGGCACTTGAGGAGGCCCCGGGGCCCTACGTGAGACAGGTGGAAGGGTGCCAGAAATACAAAGCCCTGAGGGGATATTCCCTGAGGCTGCCTGCTGGCTTTGGCTGGGACAGAGTTAATTCTCTATAGAGCAGCCGGCACAGGGCTGTGTTTTGGGTTTGTGCTGCAAACAGTGTTGATAACACAGAGATGTTTTAGCTACTGCTGAGCAGCGCTCCCCCAGAGCCAAGGCCTTTTCTGCTTCCCACACCATCCCCGCAGAGGGGAGGCACAAGAAGCCGGGAGAGGGCACAGCCGACCAAAGGTTATATCCCGCTCCATGTGACATCCTGCTCAGCACATAAAGCTGGGGGAAAACGAAGGAAAAAGGGGGCATGTTGGGAGTGCCGGCATCTGCGTTCCCAAGCCACCGCCACAGGTGATGCAGGCCTTTTTCCTGGGAACGCCTGGACACCAGCCTGCCCCGAACAGTGAAATAATCCCTTCTTTCGCTTCGCTTGCGGGGTTTCTTCCTTACCGACTCAACTCTCATCACCTCAACACACCGGCCTCCTCACTTTTACCCCCCCAGGCCCACCCG